CTGGATTCAAGGGTGAGCCAGTTCTTTCAAGCTACCATGGATCCATCGTTAGTTTAGTCCTTTCTTTTCGGACTCAGACTACATGTTTAGACTTTTACTTATGTTTAGTTTCCAGGGTTGCACCCCCTCTCTTTTAGACTCGTTGATTGGTAGAGTTTTGGTACAATGACTTTCAGTTCTAGGGGTTGAACTTCCGCAATGATTATGTTGGTTGTTTTGTTTAGACTTTCGGAGTTTATGGAACTCTGTATTTATTTAGTCATTTAAACCTACTTCCGTATCTTTAAATGTTTTAGTCTCCTTAAAAATTGCTTAGGCGGGTTGTAGTAATGGTTCTCCCACCAGAGGGTTAGTGTGGGTGTCAATCACGGCGGTCTGAGTCGTGACAATAAATTTGCGCAAACAAAAAGTAATTAACAACTTAAATATCTAAAAATCATATTAAAATTTAATCAACTTTCTAAATTCTACCTATATCACATAAATTAAAATAAAAAAATATTAAGATATTGGGCCCGTGCTAGAACTGGCACCTATTACTAGTTTTATGATAAAGTTGAGTATGTTGGGTAATGGCAGGTTTAATTAAAGAGAAAATATTTTAATTCCATCCAATGGGAATATGACACTTTTTAAATAATTTTTTTTTAAAAATTTATACCAAAGCATAAGACAGATTCGAGCCTCAAGTGTCACTTTTAAAAGGAAAATAAATATTCTTTTTCTTTATAAAAAAGAAGAGGTATGTTAATTATAAGGGTAAAAGTGAGCCACAAATGCGAATCGATAGATATTCTTAGCAAAATAGATAAATAAATGAAATCGTTTGAAATAGTTCAGAATCAATTTTAACCCTTTCCGAATATTAAACAAGTTGATTTCTCTTGTTTTTTTCTCCTTTTGGGAGTGGGGTGGGGTTGGGAGTTGGCAAGTAACATGGAGAAGGCAGAGACATGTCTCCAAGTACTTTGGCATAGGATGGCCACTTGATGCAATTGATGAGAAAATGGCTACAAATCAATTTGTCCTTTTGATTGTAGTGATGTTGACACAATTTGGTTCTCATGGCTCCATTATTAGGCTTAAATTTACCAATCTTACACCTTCGATGATTTTTTCGATAAATATAAAATTTAAATAAAAAAATATTAAATTTGGTTGAACCTATACTCGACATTCAAGCACTGCCCTTATCATTCACTTTAGTCCCCACTCGCCCATTACTCATATGATTCCAAGTGGAGAGTACTTTGCTTCTGTGGTAACCTTCAATTGAGCTTTTCGCAATATTTTAAAAAGAATAAAGTTATTGGAAACTTGTATTAGTGGAAGGTAATAGATATTTAACTAATTAATGTGGTATAAAAAAAAATTATAATCATGTTTACAACCTACATCTTATGTATACATTTCTAAAAGTAAAAATATTAAATTGTCAATCTCCCAAAATCAATGTCCACCTTACAAGCTCTTTTCATAGAAGTTTTCCTGTAAAGATTATTCATCTCATAAAAGCAATAAGTAGTGATTAGCAATAGTCCCTGATTAGTTCTTGTACTAGAAACATAAAATTTACATCACAATTTATGTGATATTTTTCGAATTTTAAGAATCAAATAAGTGCTAAAAATGGAGTAATCCAAATTGTAAGTTATAATAACTTATATTAATTTTTTATGTAGTTTTTAAATATACAATTTTATTACAAAAAATTTAACAGTTTCATATCTTTGAATTCACATTCAAAATTAAAAAGTTTGAGTTTCGAAATCAAGATATATCACATAAATTGAGACAAAAACAATATATACAGATACATGACAAGTGGGTGAATCTCATAGAGCAAAAACAAAAAAGTTTTGATAAGGGGGTTTAGATGGGCAGCTACAAATATTTGATATGAGTTGTAATTATTGTCCAAAAACAATATATACAGATACATGACAAGTGGGTGAATCTCATAGAGCAAAAACAAAAAAGTTTTGATAAGGGGGTTTAGATGGGCAGCTACAAATATTTGATATGAGTTGTAATTATTGTCCAAAAACAATATATACAGATACATGACAAGTGGGTGAATCTCATAGAGCAAAAACAAAAAAGTTTTGATAAGGGGGTTTAGATGGGCAGCTACAAATATTTGATATGAGTTGTAATTATTGTCCAAAAACAATATATACAGATACATGACAAGTGGGTGAATCTCATAGAGCAAAAACAAAAAAGTTTTGATAAGGGGGTTTAGATGGGCAGCTACAAATATTTGATATGAGTTGTAATTATTGTCCACCACGTTGCAAAACTTACGATTATTAACGGAATAATGACTCTGAAAATGTAACATTCTTGTCATTTGTCAATAACTCTCATTCGAAAATACATTATTAGAATTCTCTTTTAACTTCACTCATTTTAACCTTTAGTTTGTAATCAATTTTTTTTATAAGCATAGCAAATGAGTGAGAGTTTGGGGAAACAAGAGAAATTGACAAATTACAAAAAAGGTACATTTTGATCCAATCAATACTAAAAAGGGCAAATGACAGAAATCACATACTTTTAAGGCAAAATTATCATTTGTCCCTTATAAGTTTATAATTACAGAAATCCCTCAAAAATTTAAAAAATGGATACAATAATATAAGCGTTGATACATTAATCTGATGCGCGAGATACATTAATCGTTAAGTAACATACATTACATTTTATAGATGATACACTAATCTGATGTACATTTTATACATAATACACTAATCTGATGCGCGAGATACACTAATCTGATGCACGAGATACATTGATCTGATGCGCGAGGTACATTTTATACATGATACAGTAATCTGATGCGCGAGATACACTAATCTGATGCACGAGATACATTGATCTGATGCGCGAGGTACATTTTATACATGATACAGTAATCTGATGCGCGAGATACACTAATCTGATGCGCGAAAATGAGGGATTTTGGAGATTTGTAAAACTTATAGGGGATAATGGTAATAAGTAAACTAAAAGGTGAAATTTATGTAATTTTTCCTACTAATAAAAATCAATTGAAAAAAAAAGAGGATGGGAAGAGATAAAATATGTGTGCCTTTTATATGACTAGGCCATTGAAAGGAAAGTAAAACCAACAAAAACATGGTCCAAAGTGCTTTTTCTTGAGAAGTCGCTTTAAGATGTGAATGGCACAAAAATAGTTTGTGAGCCAATTTCCTCAAAGGCTTGTTTCTAAGATGGAGAAATATGTAATGCTTCCAATCATATAATTAAAAGCTTAAATAATATCAATGCAACGTTAAACAAGTAAAATTATATTCACCTTTCGTAAAAAGTCTTGAGTTTGAATCTTAAAAATTGAGTTTTCTTTGATAAGAAGAGCTAAATCTCCCGCATAATGGACCTTCTACCAAGATTAGTTAGGTCAATAAATTTTAAATATTAAAGAGTTAAATAAATAAATAAAAAGGTTTTAATATGTAATAATATTTCTGGTTGTGATATTCAATTATTCAAACGGGGAAGGAATATTTCTGGCTATGATATCTAATTAATACTAGTATACCTATTAAATCACACATTATTTTTTTAAAATTACACATCATACGGTATTTTCTAATTTACTAGCAAATTACGTAAATTCTCTCTCGCTCTCACTCTGTCCCCCTCTTTCTTGCTCGCCTCTCTCTCCATTTCTCGCCTTTTCTTTTTAGGTCTTCTTCTTTTTTCTTCTTCAAATTTAAATACTTATTTCCAAAAGTCAATAAGGATGGTATTGTTGTTGTTATCCCAAATTTGTAATGAATTTCATTAATATTGTTATAGTGAATTTTAGATGATTTTCAGTATATCTTTTCTTATTCTTCTTCTAAATATGTATTTATGCACAGATAAACTTGATACAACAATGCATATTTGGTACTGGCTTATTTCATGAATGTACATGTGTATATTTGATACCATATACATGTATTTATACATAATATACATCAAATTAATATTAAATATATTAGATGAAATTGATACTAGATACAGACATTGGTAATTGTGAAATTGATATTGGATACAAACTCGTAGGAATTGATACAAGCTAATGCATATTTAGTCAGATATATGCTTTCAAAATTGATACTAAATACAGAAATCCACTCATACGAATTGATACAAGCTTATGCATATGTAGTAAGATACATGCTTTTATATTCTACTAAGTGCACTCATAAAAATTGATATTGAAAACGCAAATAAATGATATTGTGAAACAAAGATACATTGGGAAACACAAATATAAGAGGGGAACTAGAGAGGTAATATAGTCCATACATATAAATCACGCTTTGAATACAATATACTCAGATCGAAACTTGGACAAAATATATAATTTTGAAACTATCGCTTCATTGGATAATTAGCCTCTGTACTAGTGTGCTTTATGAAACTTGCTCAAATTTTAAGTGATGGATAAGGAGAAAATAATTGCGACGTAAAATTAGTATGGGCATGGCAAAGAAAATTAATAATGGAAAAGTACACATACATCCATCTGGAACTATTTTTTCCCAAGTAAAATTTGTGAATAATGATATAAAAATTAAAATATTAAAATTAAACTTAGACTATAAATTTTTTTGTACGTTCTTTTCTTAAGGAATGATTTTGCCTTGTATGTAATAGTTTGTCAGTATATGATATATATCATGTTAGTGTTGTAAAGCATTGGAAATATTTTTTTAGGGAATGAATTTGGCCTTTATAATATCTTGTTAGTATATGCTATATATAAGGAACATAACTTTTTTCTGAAGGAATGAATCAATTATTCGATATCTTATCAGTTTATAATATATATCATGTGTATCAAAAATTGCTTTCTTAGAAATGGACCAGTCCTTATATAGGGCTAACCCATCGGTGGCCCCCTAAACTTGGCACGATCTTTCACTTAGACACCTCAACTGGAGGATTTTCATTTTTAAAACACCTAACGTAGGGTTCCCATGTGTTACTTTAACACTTTTTGCACAGGTGGAGTGTCGCGTGATTTTCACTGATTCAAGGCGCGTAAACATCAAATTTTCGTCTGATGTGGCGTCCCCAACGGTTATATTACTCCATATCATCTATTTATATTATTTTTTCTCCAATTGTACCCTAACTAAGACCCCAATTTCTCTCTTCTTTTCCAATCTCTCTCTTCTTCAGCCTTTCTTTAATTCTTGGCCCTTAATACTTTCATGTCGAGCTTCTCCAATTCTTCCATGGCATCTGTGGATGAAGGTCGATATTGTAGGTGTGGTAATGAAGCACTATTAAAGACTTCATGGACCCAATTAAATCCAGGGCGTAGATTTTTTACTTGTAGAATTTCAAAGGTAAAATTCTTTGTTTCCCTTATTTTTTTCAAGTAAATTAGATGATTAATTGTTGGCGTCTAATTCTTTTTGATTGGTTTTATAGAAAATGGGTGGTTGTGACTATTTTCTTTGGTATGAAGATCGACACCCTCCACAAGCAAACAGGGTAATGTGGGGATTGTTGAAGAAAGTCAATGCTTTTGATGAAAAATTAAAGCAAGCAAGAAATATATTTATTGTTGGTTTAGTTGCTACTGGGTTGCTGATGTTTGGAATATGGAAATTGAAGCCTAATTGTTAGTGTTCTTGAGGTGTTCGATCTAGTAGTATTTTGATGTTGT